CTCCTTGTTACCATGTCCCCCTCCAGCTGCAATTGAATTTCTCTGCTCCCTATTCACAGAATCCAATGAATTGCCTTTAATTACAGATTCAAGCTCATTCCTCACCCCTCCCAGTTCTCCATCCCTTGTTTTCCTTTCTACCTTGGACACACAGAACTGAGTTGATTAGACTCGGTTCAGAACATTCTGTCATCTTTGACTTGTGCAGGCGAGACCCAGCTCCGAACAATATATCTGTAAAATATGTCAAACCCAGAAAATACAGAGAATACTAGAACAATCGTGTGTGACATTGTCCATATTTAAGTAGTTTTTTTTTTAACATTTTGCCATACATACTCTGTAGACTTTTAAAGAAAAATAAACAGTTCTAACCTTCATTTCTCACTCCTCCTTGTACAAAGATACCCACTGGTAACACTGGTCCCAACAAGTTCCTCAAGGTGACAAGTGATGAGATTCAGAGCAGAAGTTGGCGGTGGGCAGTTACTACCACCAGCAATGGTAATAGCTGGCACTTACTGGTTCTCAGTATGTGCCTGATACTGTTCTCCTCTTTACACATATCAAGTCACTTAATTCTCAGAACAATTCTTTGCTATCACAACCAGTTTACACACAGTAATCTAAAGTGCCCAAATCCACATAGCTAGTAGGAAGCAGAGCCAGATTTTGAAATCAGACGCTGTGGCTTTAAAGTTTGTGGATGACGGCTCTATGTTATCCTGTCTTAGGAGTGTTAAAGAGTAGTGAGTGTTGTTTTTCCTTTTTTTCAGTGAGTTCCATCATTTGATATCTATATAGTTATACAGCCTTCAGTTACTCACTGAAAATAGTCCCCTGGATCTGGACCTACAGGTGCCACTTTCTTTGCTTGCTTATTCTTCCATTCTGCTGTTCCAACCCAAAATTATTTCCCTTCATATAGCATTTTAAGCCAGATGAAAAAATTTTAATATCCAGAAAGTTTTAAGCTTGAAACAGCTTTCCTCTGTAATGATTTTATTTATTGTTTTTAAAACTTTATACTAACTTAAAACAGCCTCCAAATGACTGTAAAGTTTTATATTCTATAAAATAACGATAAATACCTTTTGTATTTGTAGTTTCTAGAAACCTTTCAGAATGACAGGATTCTCTTAAATGACTAATTACCCCAAATCTGATGCCTGCGAAGTGCTCTTCAGCAAGCAGCTGGCTTTGTATGAAGAGAGGCTAAGAGCTCTTTTTGTCTTGTTCATTTAAAATCATTTGCTTCTTATTTAATATCTTCAAAGAACGCAGTCCCATCACAGTAGAATTTGATGCTGTAGATTTTGGATTGTTTCCATGGGTTCCGCCTTACATCTGCATGGTGTTTAAAGCCAGTGCTTCCTTTCTTTCTGTGAGCATGCAGGGCCTTTTGCCTCATAATCCAATGTCATGCTGAATGACAGAAAATTGAAGTTGAATTTATCTAACCATGGAGAAGGACTGCACAGAACAATACACTTATTTAAGAACTCCTTGCCTCAGGAACTGAAGGAGCTGTCTAGTGCAGGTGGCTTAATCTCTCTACTGCTTATCCTAACTGTGTTCCTTTATTTACTAAGGACAGGCACTGGGCACTCACTTCCAAAAACAAAAGGACCCTACTAGTCTTCCAGAACCAATTATAAACCAATAGGATTTTTTACACTTTATTCAGAAGAGTTAAGATATGGCCTATGTGTTTTAAAAACAATTTTTAGTCCTTCTTTATTAGAGAAAATATAACTAAAAGTGAAATAACAGCTGTGAAAATATATTCACCAACTCTTAATTCTATACTGGTGAATTGTTTACATTATGGATTATTCATAATGAATAACTTTTTTTCATTTCTCTGTGATATCTTGTCAGCTTATATAAAATGATTTATTTGTTGGCATTATTTGTATTTCCTGTTTCTATTTACTTCACATGACAGCCCTCAGAGTTTTCTGTGTTTTGAAGTAAAACCTTTACAGTATTTGCTATCCTTATTTTTTCTCAGAGTTGCTGTAATAACACAGTGAATAATCTGAAGGAAGTGACTTCTATACTCATTGGGTATTGTGAATTAAAGACTAAGCCATCTATGTTTATCTCAAAATAGGGAGAAAGGGAGCTATAGGTGGGTTTAAAGAAAGAGTACCTCTGGTGAGTACTAGTTTTTCCTTCCTTGAGTTGGGTGTGATTGTGTAGTTTATTTTCTGTTAAGCTCAGGAAATTTTGGAACTGTGATGTACAAACACATTCAAATATGAAACTAATGATACTTCCAATGCGATAAAAATGGTTTTGGATTAGCTGCCATTTTTACAGTCTAATATTCTAATTATCAGGTCATTGACAATTAATTGCATAAAATTCACATATCAAGTATCAATTCTTTGGAACTTACTTTTAAGATAATCAGTTCTCCCTGTTAACAATAGCTGCACTTAGAAGTAACCACAGAAAATCGGTCACATGGGCTCAGACCTGCACTTACTTGTTTGAGATTATATCCTGCAGGAAGCACCGAGGGACATTTAATAGGAAGTGATAATTGTTCTCTCTGATGTTCGTCTCATAAAGTTGGTCATCGTGACACCATTCCGTCTTTTTTTATACCACCTGGTTTTAATATCTTCCATTAGTTGTAATATGTTAGTTTTTAAACTTTCAAAAATTAAAATCTAAACCACTTCTTGGAGCTAGAAATTTGACTCATTTACTGTGTATCTTATAGAAAATAATACTTTTCATTTGTCTGAAATATACCTCTCTAAAGCTTCTGGGGTGTGCTAAGTAAGTCTGTACCCACTCTACCCACACCTTCATGGACAATTATTACACGCCCTCCCAGCTCTCACACATCAGTGTAGGAGAGCTAGATAAATTAGGGCTGTGAGATCAGGCCAACTGCGTTTGAACCATGGGATCACTTGTGACCAGCTGTGTGACCTTTGATAAGTTAATTACTCTGATCCCGAGAGTCTTCACTGGTGAGAATAATACATGTGACTGTCTTTAGGGTGGTTGTGGCTGTGAGTGAAGTGGTGCAGGAGACAGCACCCTGCCCAGGCACGGACACGGCACACCACCCACCAGTGTCCGCTCCCTTCCCCGCTCATTCTCCAGAGGACGGGTCAAAATCTTTTAACTTAATAACAAAGAATCACATTATGCAACGTTTATGAGCTCTCCTTGTTTCTAAATTGGGGTTATACTAAAAAATAAATTCTCTGTGTGTATGTTATTTTATCTTTTCTTTCATATAATGTTATCACCTGATAAGTGGAAAAAATGTAGCCCACAAAACTGTCTACCAACTAGTTCCATATCAAATCTTTTTTAATTTTTTATTTATGTTGTTACAGTCCTGCTTTTTCTTCCTTTCCTTACCTTTACTCAGCTCCACCCTCTCCCCTCCCCAAGCCAGTCCCCATATTGTTGTCCTTGACCATGGTTGACACATAAATGTTCTTTGGTTAACCCCTTCATCTTTCATCTCATTCCCCCTTACCCTTTCTGCCATCTATCAGTCTGTTTTATGTATCTAAGTGTCTGTTACTATTTTGTGCATTAGTTTATTGTGTTCATTAGACCCACATATAAGTGGAATCATATGAGATCTGTTTATCACTAACTGGCTTAATTTTCTCCAGGTCCATCCATGCTGTTGCAAAATGTAAGAGGTTCTCTTTTTTTTTTTTAACTGCTGCATTGCACTCCACTTTCTAAACGTACCACAGCTTTTCTATCCACTCATCTTATTTCAGGGGGCCATCCTCTCAAATTTATTGCTTCAGGAGAGTTTAAAATCCTTTTGCCTGCAGGATAATACAGTTACTCATTATGAGATACCGGGCAGAAGACTTGGAGAGGGCCTTATGTTTTCCTCATCAGAAAAATGGGACTATTAGCACTTATAAGGCAGTTTCAGGGATAAAATTAAATAATGTCTGTGAAAGTACTGGATACACATAAAATGTCTGCCACTATCTGATACATTCTAATTAAAACATTTGTTCAGAGTGAATTTATGTTCTGATTTAAGAAGATGGCCCTCCTTCATAAAACAAAGTTAAGAAGGTAGAGTGAATAGCATATATATGTGTGTGTGATTATGTGTGTGTGTGTTGTATTTGTATGCATGCATAAAGATTTTAAAGTTTATTATTAAAAATATGTCATGAAAGCATCTGAAAGATGTAACAGGAATTTATAATTCTAGTGTTTTAATTTTTTTTTTGCAGAAACCAGTTAGCCAGTCCCTCTGTTTAAGTGTTTCTTTTCACCTTATTCCCCAGAAGAGTGCCAAGAAGCGCTGTCACTGGGCTGGGGTTCGGACCACAGTTTCCACACACAGGCTAATGGCAGGACTCAGATAACTCAAGCGTTTGTTCTTTCTGCGTTGCTTTCAGTTCTGCATCAACACATGGTAGACATGGCTGTTTGAATAATCTTCCTTAAACACTGTTTGAATCCCACCGTAAAGACTCTGTGGAAGCCGTTTCTTGCTTGCATTTTCTTGGCTTTGAAAGTCTATTAGATGCTACCCAGAGTTAATAAATTCTTTACCTGGAGCCTTGCACATGGTTTGTCTATTTCACTTCTACCAGGAGACCTCAGTGATGCTTTTCAGTTCTAGGCCCCAAGAGATAGCTTAGGCAGTCAAGTGTTTCACAAGTGAACCACATAATCATATGTGTGTTAGCTACATAAACTTCCTCTGGAAACATTAGAAAAACTTAGCCTATTAGCTGTTTGAAAATTAGCATGACGTTAAGGGTGAAAAGAAGCTAATAAGTTGGATCTGTCCAAACCTATTAGTTCCATGGGGTTTCATAGTAGGACAAGCTGTGTGTGATCATCCAGGCAAAGAGGAGTAAACATCTGCAGTATTCCTCGGGAGCTAAGCAGTGGCAGTTCTAGAACAATGTGGTTTATACTCTGTAACTATCTGGGCACTTCAAATTTCCTAATCAGATGAATATATTGTATCATTTCAGATTTACAATCTCAAGTAGAGGCACTTGGGCTAAAACTTCAGAAGGCAGTGACCCAGCTGGACACCTGTAAAGAAAAGCTCAAGTAAGATGGTGAACATTAACCACCTGTAGGAATTTAGAAAGACCCCTGGCGTGCTCTCAGTGACTCCTCTGGCAGCGACACAGCTGTGTGGGCACGGTCCACTGCTGCTTTTTTCCTGGCCTAGACTGTATACTGAAGGACCTGCAAATATTTTTAGAGGCATGAAATGTTTCTTTTGCTCAGTAAGAAATTTACCTATCCATGTATTAAAACTTCCCCTGGCTGTTCAAATTAGTAATTTAATGTGAAATAGTCTCTGAACTTTTTCTCTTAATGATTGTCTATGTTGTCTGCCCAGAATAGACAACATTGAGCTGGTTCTTAAAGTGATCAATTTCAGGTTCAGAAAGATAGTTGAAAAGTTTTGAAATGCTGGAGTACTGATGTTTTATGTAAGTAATAAATGAAATACTGACAAACAAATGATAAGAAAATTCCCTGCAAAACATGCAGAGTACTCTTCCTTTTAAAAATGAAAGAATACAGGCACCCCTGTGTTCACTGCAGTGTTGTTTACAACAGCCAAGATTTGGAGGCAGACCAACGTGCCCAGCTGTAGACGAGTGGGTAAAGAAGCGGTGGTACATTTACACCATGGAATACTATGCAGCTGTAAAACAGAAGGAAATCTTACCTTTTACAACATCACGAATGGACTTGGAGAGCATTGTGCTAAGTGAAATAAGCCAGTCAGAGAAAGACAAATATCATATGATTTCATACATATGCGGCATCTGGTGAACAAAATAAATGAACAAAATAGAAACAGACTCATAGACACAGAGAACAGACTGGCAGTTGTCAAGGGGGAGAGGGTTGGGGAACTTGGTGAAAAAGATGAAATGGTAAAGCAAGGAAACAAAAACAGAGACAAAGAACTCATAGAAATAGTATGGTAATTACCAGAGGGGAAGTAGGGGTGGGAAGAGGTAGAAGAGGGTAAAGGGCGGATAAATGGTGATGGAAGGAGACTTGGGGTGGTGAACACACAGTGCAGTATACAGATGATGTATTATAGAACTGTACACCTGAAACCTATGTAATTTTACTAACCAACATCACCCCGACAAGTTCAATAAATAAAAAAGTCTTCGGAAAAATGAATTTCAGAAATTTCAAAAATTACTTTACAGTATAAATATAGCAAATTTGTAATTATAACTCTAAAATAGATTTATATAGTCTTTTAAAAGTAAGTAAGCTTTTTTACATTGTGGTATATAATCTGGTAGATCTGGTTTTCAGTTCCTATATTTTAAAAGGATGAATCTCACAAGAAATACAAATATTTGGAATGCTTAGCAACCAAATATTGTGTTGACCATGGACAACTTCTAAGAACAATGTGTTAAAACATTCAATAAAATGGGTTTAGAAGGAAAGTACCTCAATATAATAAACTCCATATATGCAAACTCTCAGCTAATATACTCAATGGTAAAAAACTTAAAGCATTTCCCTAAGGTCAGGAACAAGACAGGGATGTCCACTTTCATCACTATTATTCGACATAGGTCTGGAAGTCCTAGCAGGAGCAATCAGGCAAAAGAAAGAAGTAAAATGCATCCAAATTGGGAATAAAGAAGTAAAAGTGTTACTTTTTGCAGATGGCATGATTCTTTATATAAAAAACCCTAAAGATGCCACCCAAAATCTGTTAGAAACAATAAACAAATACAGTAAAGTTGCAGGATATAAAAATCAATGTATAAAATCCACTGCATTCCTATATACTAACAGTGAAATGTCAGAAATAGATAAAAAAAAATTTCTTTTGCAATTGCAACAAAAAGAATAAAATACCTAGGGATAAACTCAATACAGAAACTACAAAGCATTATTAAGAGATTGAAAAGGACACAATGAAATGAAAAGATACTCCATGTTCATGGGTTGAAAGAGTCAACATAGTTAAAATGTTCATATTACCCCAAGCAATATATAGATTTAGTGGAATCCCCATTAATACGTTTTTTTGCTATTTACCTTTTATTACCATATGTCAGCTCCTATGCCTTTTACCATTTATTTCTTAATTTAATTAAAAAAATTTTATTGTTGACAAATTACAGTTGTACCCATTTTCCCCCATCACTCTCCCTGCCCCACCCACCCCCACCTTGCACATTCAGTCCTCCCCCCACCAGCGTCTTTGTCCATGTGTCCTTTATACATGTTCCTTGATGTGAGCCTTCCCCATCTTTCCCCTGTTATTGCCCTCCCTTCTAGTCACTGTCTTTTTGTTCTTTATTTTCATGTCTCTGTTTCTATTTTGCTCACATGTTTGTCCTATTGGTTAGGTTCCACTTATAGATGAGATCATATGGTATTTGTCTTTCACCACCTGGCTTATTTCACTTAGCATAATGCTCTCCAGTTCCATCCATTAATAAAACTCTTAACAACACAGGCAGAACAAATTCCAAAAAATGCCCTATCAAATTAATGTATACTTGGATTATTTGTAGCAAATAATCTGTTTTTGAAAAATAAGAAAAACCAAATATTCATGCTTTATAATTTTGTGGTTAATAGTGGAGTAAGTACAGTAGTTCAGTTTCTGGGTATGGCAGCTAAGTCTGAAGGACTGAGTGGACCAGAAGGTTCTTAACTCACTAGGTCCAGGAAGTAATTTTCTGCATGAGAAGAAACATGAGAAAGAGAAACGAGATAGTGATCGCCAGGAACATAAGCATTGTTCCCCACCCTCTAAAGCAACATTGGTAAGGGCTTTGGCCATGCAGGTGCCTCATGTGGAAGCATCCTAGTCAGGCAACCGCTACTGGGTGACTTTGGCTTTGTGGAGCTCAAAAAGTGAGGAGGGAACAGTCTAGGAATAAGGAGGTAGGGCTGGTTGTACCTACCAGCTAAAATGGACTTGTGAACATGCTGAAACTCAGTGGATAGAGAAGGGCCCTGACGAGTTAGCAGAGAAGCACAGCACAGAAATAAGCATTCCGAGGAAAAGGAGTAAAGCTCACTGGTTGTGACAGGAATTGATTTTGTGAGTGTGTGCAGAATTCTTTCTGTATACAAGGAACCCACCCACTTACATGCACACGTGCTTTAGGTATTTTCTGTTCATTGTATTTCTAACATAACTTATGAGTGCTGTGGAATAGTAAGAGTCAGAGGAGATGAGAGTCGAAGGGAGAAATAGACCACCTCCCTAATGTCCTGCAAATGAATCACCTGGAGGAAATCACTATACAACTGCACAGATGCTGATGCTGTTGTTTCCCTTCGTAAAACTGGTGCTCCCTGCCTACGTAAGAACTTCTTAAAATGAGAAAACAGGCAGAGTACCCAGTTTTAGAAAATTTGAGTTATCAAAGGTAGAGCCACTTAGATGACCCCAACTGCTGGAGACCGTTCTCTGTGCTGGCTGTTGGCCACATTTCCATCTCTACACAATCTCTCTGCCCTCTTCTCTGCTGGCATTCAGTGCAGCAGGGGGGCATTTAGGATTAGAGCCCAGGACTGCTTGGGCCGCTCAGAGCTCAGGAGGTCCCCAGTAATGTGTATGTACTATTTTATTGTAAATTAAAGCCAAATGTGTGACTTAGCCATTGTTTTATGATAAATTCAGTTGGAAGTTAAAATAATTCACTCAAAATTTCATATACAATTTGTTAGTAAGTTAGATTATTTTATACACACACACATACACACACAAACCTTTTGAACTTTGAGAAATTGAAAGGTGTATGAAATCGGGTGTATTTAAATTTTTCATTCTCACCTTTTTTGAAGGATAGGGGTGGGAATGGGTTTCACATATCCAATTTAAGATTGCTCTTTTGTTGTTTAAAGATTTTCAATGTTTTGATATGCTTCATGTATTTTTACTTAAGGGAAAGAGGCAGTTTTTAAATGGATGACCTTGAGGTTCTTTCTTTTCCTAAGGTTTATGAGGAAATATCTTCCCAGGTTTAGGAGAACTTGTTATGTATTTGAAAAGAGATTTCATCAGTCAGGATGCTGTGGGCTAAGGTGACAGTGGTGGAGTGGTTTCAGGTTAGTCGGTCCAGCAGCTCGGCAGCGTCTCCCTGCATCCTGTCTTCCTCCTGCCGCCCTGGGGCACTGGCTTCGCCCCACAGCTTGTCCCTTGTGACCACGAAGCACCTGCAGTTCCAGGCACCACATTCAACTGTAACCAACTTGGAGGCAGGATGGGCCTGTTTGTATGATGTCTCCTTAGAAGTGAGAAAAATATTTTCCCAAAAGCTACCAAATGGCCATCTTTTCATTTCTTTTTTACACCCTCTTCTAGATGAATCACTGGCAAAGGAAAGGTGACGACCACGATTACTTTAGCTGGGTGTGTCCAAACTCTTGGCATCTCTGCACCACACCGGAAGAAGAAGAGTCGTCTTGGGCCACACAGTCAATGCATTGTGACACATAATCACAAAAATATCTCATTATATTTTAAGAGAATGTATGAGTTTGTGTTGGGCCTCATTCACAGCCATCCTGGGCTGCATGTGGCCCGCGGGCTGCAGGTTGGACACTCCTGGTAGACTAAGCACCTGAGAACAGGTGCTCACAGGGCTCTAATGGCCAGGAAAGAAGCTGTGGTGCTCACTCAGCAGGTGAGCGGTAGTGTTTGCCAAAGAGGCAGAATGTTAGCGGTGCTCTGAGAAGTTGGTGGTGAAATTTCCTATAAATTTTATTTGTAAGTGTTATAATATCTAGATTAGGGAAGACCTCCCTGAAGTAATGAAAAATATAGATGCTCTAAAAATGCAACTTTATGACCTTTAAATATACATGTAAATATATAAATATATATTCACTTATATAAGTAAATAACTTACTTATTTTACTTACTTATTTTAGTTTTATACTTATATAAGTAAGTATATATTTATATATAAGTAAATATATATACTTATTTACATATATATTTAAAGGTCATAAAGTAAGCATTTATATTTTTCATTACTTCATAGATCTTCCCTAATCTACAAACACAACAACAGTGAACTAAGGACCCC